GGGCAGCGATCACCGACTAGACAAGCTTCAGCGACAGTTGTCCGCTAATGATCGGTTGTCAAGACTTGTGCAAACGAAAGTAACGTTGACACGTGTAAGTGCCCGTTTGCAAGACGCAACAAAGTCAATAATTTGAACTTCGGCGAAAAAGTCATTATCACCAGCAAGGAAGCTGTTCTAATGAGGGGAAATTGACAGTCACCTTGGCTTGCCTCAAAGCCGGCTGTACGAACGCCACTCGTGTCCAAATAACTCGCAAAACGATGCTTGTTGCCCGTCGTTCTGACGTCGGTTTGGCGGCACTGGATAACATTGAAGAGCATTGAGCGAACAGTTTCTGTCGGTTTGGTCGTCGACCGACACTGAGCTGTCGTTGCCAGTGGTAGAAATGCGCCATTGGAACTTTTGGCTTTGCTTTTTTGGCAACATATCCGTCGCATGGCTGAACTGCTTATGTAAGTCATGCTCGAATGATTCGTGGATCGTCGATGAGATGCTGCGGGTGCATCGCAAAAACGCCGTTCCCGGCGGGGGCAACGTCGTTGTGTCCGTCGAACTGTGGGTTCAGGAGATTTCGAAAATCAACGAAATGCAATCCGACTTCGAGCTTGACGTGTACATCACAGAAGCTTGGAACGACCCGTCGTTGTCCTTCCATCGATTCAATCCTTGCAAGAGCAATTTATCGCTAGACGGCGGAACGATCCTGCCGAAGCTGTGGAACCCGAACTGCTGCTTCATAAACAGCAAATCCGCTTCCATTCACAAGTCGCCTTTCACTAACATATTCCTGATGATAGTAAGTTTGCTGTAAATCGTGTTTACATTTTAAATCGGCGTTGAATTTTGTCCGTTCGAACATACCCGCAAGCTCGAAATATGTAGGCTTCTGTCTATCGTTCGAATGATGTTTCAGTCCATCGTTAGAAGCAAGCGATATAGCTCTAAAGTTGATCGAATTTCATTTAATCGAATTAATAAATTTTCCATCAGTGCGTATAAAAACTCTGATATGTGTCTGAGGAAGTTTTCTTTAGATGAGAAATGCTAATCAGTGACAAAGCTGTTAAATATTTTATGCTTGAAGTGCTTCTTTCTGATAATTTGGCTCAATTCAGTGCATGAAATGTCTATCTTTATGCATCAGATGGGCTTCTCAGGCGAATCGATTTTGCATGAACGCGAAGTTCTTTAGAGAAACTAATCTGATTCATGAAAACAGAACAGACACTTTCGAGTGAGACCACAGTGCGCGTCTCCTGAAGAAATAAATTAAGATTTCAACCAGGTTTCTGTGACAACTCTAAAGGTAAAGGAAGCATCGCTTATCAAAACAACTTTTTTGCGTTTAAAACAACGAAAGTTTAATTCGCCATTTTCCTCAGTGAACCTGTGACCACTGTTATTTCTTAAAATTTCGCTTGGTCAGTCGCGAAAATTGGAATTCAGTTCAGAAAATGTATGCCTATCAGCTATTTTTCTCGCGTCTCAACATATACCTTTAGATGTAACAAATTCACTGTGTCCGCACAGAGTTGTTCTGCAGGTTTCCTCATTCAATAATATTTGTTTAAAAGCTGATTTGCACATCATTCTAATTAAACTCATTTCGTCATGCTTCTGACGGTTCCAGTAGAATCGTTTCATTCGAGCTCAGGTTTGATCGATGTTCCATTACTTCCGGTTTCACATTTGAGAACAACATATTTTAAACATTATAACTAACAACATGAATGCCTTTTACTGGTCATGAACTGACTTTGAGAAAATCACCTATGCTTATATTTTTACCAGAGCTGAAGAAAATAGTCACTATTCGATCTTTTCCTACTGGTCTGAAATTCGCTTTTCTATTTCGTTTGACTGAGACCTAAGATTTTGCTTTAAATGTTCATTTTTTTTCACAGTGGAGTGCATGTGCACGTACCCTGCAAAAAACGGTTACAATGTGGTTCTTTAAATCAACGTTTCATCTTTCAGTGAAACAGGAGGATCACAATATTTGCGTCACTCATTATTCTTTACGAGGTAGCAGCTTCACGATGTTTCTTAGTGATCTCATTCCTCCGCTAATTGAACAAGATTCAAGTTTCAAATTCGGAGGCCCGACAGAGCCAGAGATTCGATATACTCATGCCGCCTGAAATTCTATATGCCGTTCAACCGTCTGTTGTGTGACTCTGCGAGAATGTTAAATCTTGCGATATTCGTACGTGATGCTCTGATCACTTGGCCAAGAATAGTGATTTGTTGAACTTGAGGACGAAATGTCAGACTAGTCGCCGGCCTTACGCGTCTCGACGTGGTCCGGAATACTGACATCCGGAAGAGCCTTGGTGTACAGCTTTTGCTTCGCCAGATTGAGAAGTCACAACTGCGATGGTTTGGCCATGTGTTGCGAATGCTTCTAGTAAGGAAGACTAAGCAACTGTTTATCCCCTGCCGACCAG